GTGCCTCTGGCACTTCACTCTCATCATCCACATCCCCGTCACCCTTCACCCTGTTGTGCTCCTCCATCCTCTTTCGATCCTGAGAGGTAGTGCAGCAAAGATACAGTGGGAACACCCTTGACAGCCTGTGAAGCTGGACACCCATCCCTACACCATACTCTGAGTTAAACCAATGCTTCAACCCCTACAGGCAGCCAAGGTTCTCTGCGCAATTGCGCAGGAGTCTTCTTCTTCTTCTTCCAAGGGGCGGCATAGATCGTGAGGTTGTGGATGGTGCAGTTATGCATCATATGAGCTGGATCCGCCATGGCCAGTTGCATGTAGCCGCTTGAAAGGCCAACGATGATGAAATTGCAAGCCAGTGGTGGTGAAATGACTGAAATATAAGTGGTTTTTTTGTGTTTGAAGCAGAGAGATGTTGAATGAAGGTGGTTGGACATTCCTATTGTGGACCTTATTCCCCTTAAACATATTGTAGAAACTCCTAGCATGGCAGTTATTGTTTATGAGCTTGGCTGAGGTCATGCCAATTGAAGCTTCCCAGCATGGAAGTTGCCCTCTATGATCATGAGTGCCCACTGTGATCACGAGTGCCCATCTGAACTGTGGGGCTGCGGTTGCACATATGGCAACTGTGAGCTTAGCAATCAAAAAAGCAGACACTGAAATAGGAGCATTGAGGAACTGACTGTGTCCAGGATCATCTGCTGCACGCACGCCCCAACCTGCAAACAAGTAGTAAAGTCATCACTCAAAGAAGGCAGCAGAAGACATGACTCAAGACTCACACACAACCTGCAATGCAATAGAATTGTGAAAGGACGTGCGCCAAGAAAATTTGTTCTGCTTAGTTCATTCAGAGACGCTGTTTGTTTTTGAGCTGCCTACAATGGTGCTTAAAGATATTCCAGCCTGTGAAAACATGCCTATAGCCATCAAGCAAGAACAGCCACATGGTGGTGCAATACATGTCAGCTTCAAATTAAACCAAATAGCTCAGGGTCCAACGTCCTCTACACTGCACCGCATGCAGCGTGCATCCAGCCTCAAGCCATTGGACAGTCACAAAGTACAGGATCCACTGCAAGCACATGACAAAAATATATGCACAGTGAACAACAGGGATAAACAAAAGTCATCACAAGATTGACTGCCAGACTGAGGAAAAGCAGGATCATTTGCTGAGTGTGCACCCCAACCTGCAAACAAGTAGAAGTCATCACTCAAAGATGGCAGCAGAAGACATGACCCAAGACTCACACACAGCCTGCAATGCAACAGAATTGTGAAAGGAAAGGATGTGCACCAACACAGTTTGTTTTGCTTAGTTCAGACATCCCATAGTCTCACACCAGAACCCAACACTGCAGAATAGCAAGGTTGGGCATAACTCCTGGATTTCCAAGAGTTAGTCCAGCTTCTGGAATTCCAGAAGCTGGTGGGCAAAAGAAAATTAGAGTTAGTCCAGCTTCTGGAATTCCAAAAGCTGGTGGGCCCAAAGACAATTAAAGAAAACGCATTGATTCTCTCACACACTGACACGGTCACAACTCTGACAGTTATGCATTACTCCTGGAACTCACCAGATAGATGGGCAAACTTTGACTTGGGGCCACCAAGTCATACCTTCATGCAAGTTCATCCCAGGACGAACTCAGTAGCACAGCAGTGTGCATTTGTCCTTAAACCTAGTGGAAGGCAAACTTTGATTTGGCCTTCAAACCATACCTTCATGCCAATTCATGCCAGGATTCAGTGTAGAAAAACAATGTGCAATTGGTCCATCACAACAAATGGAAGGCCAACAACTTGCTGCCAAAGGCATTATCTCAGTCCCAGGTCATGCCTGGCTGGTGGAAAACAATACAACATTGGTCAATCATCCTCACCTGCCACAAAGTTAACCCTGGGTTTCACACGCGAACCCTGGAAAGGTGTACAATGATGTGTAAAGGTGAACACAGAAACGACCCCCCAAAGCCAAACTTTTCCAAATGCTTGGTCAGAGCCATTCTTAGCCCTGTTATTTCCCATCATTTCCCGAAAAGGTCAAAAAGCAGAAGTGACAGATCACGATAGATCGTGCATAATTTGTTTTCAATATACTTTTTATGTCCTTATAGCATAGAAAAAAGGGAAGAAAAGTGTATTGCGGTACCCAGGTTCTAATTGAAACACCATCAACCCATATCTTTGTGCCAGGCTAGGGTGGATAATAACCAAATCCTAGTGTTCAGTGTGCCAAAGCTGGAAACTAGACTCTAGTGACTCTAGTGTGCACTTTGCAGCGCATTCCTCTTTTTCAAGAGGCTCTATGTTTATTAAGTTAGGCTACTCTAAATCTTAATGATGATGACCTGCATCTAGCACCTTTCGGCGCATTCCTCTTTTGCAAGAGGTCCCAATTAAACAGAAAAAATCCACATCACACCCCCCCTGCCCCATCCCACCCCCCCTGCCCCATAAGCTCCATGACACTGGTGCTGCTGAAGTCGCTGGGGGAAGCTCTGAAGGTGAAAGGGCAATTGAGCATTTGGCAATTGGGGTTTGTAAGCCTTTTCCCCATCACCCCAATACAAATATGTGTTCAGTGTAGTGTAGTGGGTTCAGGGTGTGCCCCTCAAACTAAAAACTAGTGACTAGTTGAACCTTTCACCATCCCCTCCCTCACTCGATCACCCCAATACAAACATCTGGGATCAGTGTGGTGGGTTCAGGGTGTGACCCTCAAACTAGTGACTAGTTAACCCTTGCACCATCCAATCCCTCACCCCATCACCCCAATACAAACAGCTGGGATGAGTGTAGTGGGTTCAGGGCATGCCCCTCAAACATGAAGATAAAACTAGGGACCACTTAACCTTTCCCCTTCCAATCCCTCACCACATCACCCCAATACAGTCATATGGGATCAGTGTGGTGTTGCATGTTCATGGGTTGATGCCCAAAGATAAGAAATGCAACCACATTGTGATCTTCTAGGTGGCATGCCTGAACTCATCCCACCACCCATCCACCCATCCCATCAACGCATCACCCATTCCAAGTTCCATGATGCTGATGCTGTAGAAGTCTCTGGAGAAAGCTCTGAAAGGGCAGCTGCAGGGAACAAAACCTTTTACACAAACCCACTCAACCTGTTCCCCATCCAATCCCTCAACTCCTTCACACCAATACACATATATGTGATCAGTGTAGTGTACTGGGTTCAGGAGGTGTCCCTCAAACATAAAGACAACTAGTGACTATCTAACCTTTTCACTTTCCAGTCCCCCACCCCTCACCCCAATACAAAATATGGGATAAGTGTAGTGTAGTGGGTTCAACAACTAGTGACTGTTTAACCTTTTCACCATCCAATCCCTCACACCACCACCCCAAGACAAAGATATGGGGTAGTGTACTGGGTTCAGTGTTTCCAAACATAAAGATACAATTAGTTACTAGTTAACCCTTTCACCATCCAATCCCTCACTCCATCACCCCAATACAAACAGGAATGAAAACTCCAAATAGAAATGAAAACATCAACTAACAGTGAGGTGGCTTGAGTTTGTCACCAACAAGAAAAGAGTGTCCTACAAGAGGTGTCACCCCAGAATGTCCTTCCAGAGGGTCTTTGAAGAACGCCAAGAGCATCAAACAACAGTTGGTCGTTTAGTTGTTGCTTTAAAAGGGAGTTTCAAATCCATAAGTTCCATGATACTTGATGCACTTCAGCTGGCCTCAAGTTCCACTAGTCCACTATAGTCACTAGTCACGAAGTAGGCTTCAAAAGTGCTTATTTAAGAAAGATCAGGACTTCCACCCACCAGACCTCCATTCAGGACAGCAGACCACACCAACAACCCCACCAACCCATATAGCTCAATGCCGACTTAGGGGGGAACCCAACCCACTCACAGAGGGGCGCCTGTTCCGCTCGTCGGTGAGCCTTTCCGGCCAGGACTCATTGCCTTCAGCTTCTTCTTGGGCTCGATCAACCAATCCTTGAGCCAATTGAAAGCCCGCAGTGCCCAGGACGGGCGTGACGCCAGAGGTCGACGGAAGGCGAGACGGAAGGTCGACGGGTGAACAGTGGCGCCAGTGAGCGGCCAAGCCGGGTGTTTTCATTTCGGCATAGAGACGGCTCAGAGCCGTTTGACAGCTGAATCATTCGTCGAGACAGGTGGCTGTGGACATTGGATTCAGATCAATGGTGAGCTTGTGATCAGTTGCTTCTCTACTCTTCACACCTGGTTATTGTGCGAACTTCTGTTGCATGTCGATGCCCAAGATACCCGGACATCCATTTTCCTGGTTCATCATCATGAACCTCTTTTCATAGTAATAGCTGTTCTTCAGGACAGTTCTTGACTTATGTCGTAAGAAAACATGTCCACATCATTCCACATCCACATCCTTGGTGATCAACTGATCCACAGGAAACCTTCCAGAACATGCTGGTTCGCCGCTACATCAGCGAGCGGCAGTTATCCATGGAACTGGCCGCTGACATGTTGGCCTTCATCCGGCAACGTGGACTGGGAAAAGCCAAGAGCAAAGTGGTCTTCAGCGATATCAAGGCGATGGCCCGACCATGGTGTGGCCACTCCTTTAGGGCTTAGAAGGTTGGACATGGAAGGAATCATGTTGAAACAGATTCCAATTATATAATGGATTCCAATGGATTTTTGGATTTTTTTGGGTTGGACATAGAACATCAGGTTGGACATTGGATTTTTTTTAGTCCACAGATGGAGGAAACCAAGTTTGTTGGATCTTGGATGACCGCAAGTGCAGCAAGGTCAGGTCAGATGACCGACAGGTCCTTCCTTGTCGAAGTCAACCAATCTGAAAAAGGGGATGACATTTGGCGTCTTTTATCTTCCACAGATGCTCCAAACTTTTGCACAGATGGCCAGATGGCCCACTAAAGGGACAGATTTGGGAATCGTTGCTTGGTCAGGCACACCGACCAACACCAGGCTCTCGTCTCACCGGCCCGTCCTGAGTGCCAGGCCTTGGACAGCTTGCCACGAGAGTTGCTGGCGCACTTGCAGCACGAAGTGGGCCTTCCGATCTTGGACACTCATGCGATGCTGAAACATTTGAGTCACCTGGCAACTGGAAATGATGAAAAACATTTGCGAAGACTCTTCAACACTTTGAATTAAGCTGCTGTGCTGTGCGCATGCCAGCAGCTTGCCACTTGAAGCCGTCAGCGTTGAGCATCCCCCGAAGTACATCATGACCCTCCTGAGGTGTGCTGGGCAGCAAGGAGATGACTCGCTTGTGCGAGAAGGCCCTGAAGGAGTCCCGACGGATCTACGGCGAACACCTGTTCGAAGCCGGCGGCGGCGGCGAAAAGATGTATTTCATCCTGTCCGGACGCTTTCACTACACCAGTGTCTCGGTTCCGAGCTGCTTTTAGCTTTTTGTGGGGTCTTTTTGTGGGTCGAGACCAGCTCGATCTTGGATGTCTTTTGGCTAGAAATCCTTTTTGTATGGCATGGATACCAAAGACCCTAGAAAAGGCGTCTAGCCTAGTGAAACTGCTATGATTCAGGCTGATTCCTTCAAGTAACCCCCTGCAGCCTATTGACCTACACCTGTTCGGGGTGTCTTTTTTGCGAGTTTCCATGGAGGCATATCAATTCCAGTCCCATTCGTGTGGTTTGGGTGATACGTATGATGTTTGTGCAAGGTACGATGGAACATGCACATCAAGGGACGTTCAGATCACTTGTGGCCCAGGTGAGTTGCTGCTGGATGTGACCCACGAAGTGTCCAAAGGGATGCGCTGCAGCCACTGGATGCCACCGAAACGGAACAGAAAAGCGAAACGCCACAGGACCTTTCCTAAAGAGGTATCCATATACTAGAAAGATCCACCAGTTTTTGTTTTCGCTCCAAAGAAAAAACACGAATTGAAGGTGTTGGTCACCTTTGTCAGTGTAAACAAAGATGTTCTGCCTCTACCAAAACACTGACAAAAACACATGGAAATCAAGCTGACAGGTTTAAGCTGAAAGAACTTTAAACAAAATGTCGTGCGCAGAGAACAAAGTGAGTTCCGGGGGAGTTCCATGCCATGCTCATCGGTGAGAAAACTGCCTCAGTTATGAGGCGAGAAGAGCCATTGGACAATGAACAATTCCGTTCTTGAACGGGAGTCGTCTTTGGCGCAATATCTCCTATAGAAGAATTTGGTGTCACAGGGATTCCAATTCGGAGCGGATTCATTTTGTTATTTTTTCGAGTCCGCATGTCACGAAGATCCAGCCAAGACTTCCCCGGATGCAATGCAAGTGGATGGGCTGGCGGCAGCCTAGGAGTTCAGGAGTTCAAGGCTGTTGCATCTGAAACGTTTCTTCTTTGGGGATTCACCGCAACAAACATCAAACATCCCAGCAAAACCTTGGATTCCAGGTCTCTTCATGGTTCCAAAATCGAAGACAAAAACAGAATGGGACCAACAAAACACCGCTGAATCAGTGGAATCTTCCCATTTCTTCCACCTCCACTTGGTCTCCGTTGCCGCTGGGTCTCTGTCTGCCACTGAGCTCGGTCGTGCCGTCCGAGGTGAAGCCTCTCTTTGGCTCTCCTGGGAGCACCACGGAACGATGCCACCGAGCGGTGAAATTGGAGACCCCCCCGCGTGGCGGTCAACGGTGGTACCAGTTAACTGGTTCTTGTTTCGTTTACCATTCATGACCATCTTTTTTTCAGCACATATTACATCATATTAAACTATGTTGGTGGATTCTTCAATTTGAGCCTGTACTCCCGAAAGGAGAAAAGAAAACAGACACCCAAACAACATGTCACGTTTCATAAACCGCCCATATCGGCTCGCCCGAAAAATTGGACACGTCCCCGATCTCCGGGACCCCAAAACAAGAGGCGAGGGGAAGGGGCACCGCGCGGACCGAAGGAAAGCTCCGAAGCCCTGTGCGCGGGGGCGATCCGCTCAGGACCTGTGCGGATCACACCTCGTATCTCTTTCAGCTGGACGGCGCCAACTTTCGGAAGATCATGGTGCGCTCCGTGGCATGGCGCAACGTGAAGAGACGGATAGAGAGAGAGAGAGAGAGAGAGAGATGAGGTTTTTTTCATCGAGAGGCATCGAGTGACATGGATGGTGGCGCCACCAAAAAGGACCAGAGCATTTGGGGGGAATTTCACTTCCAACGTGAGGGATTGGCAGATGGGTGTCACTGTCATGTTTTGTCTTTCCACATGTTTCTTTCGCATTTGTGCCGCTTTCTTTGTGAAACCCGTGAGAGTTTGGTCCCTCGGCGAGATGACAAGGTGGAAGATGAGACAGGTCACTGACATAAGATCTTACAAGTGATTATGACATATGATGACAATCCACCTGAAACATATATTCTTTTACAACATCTTTGTCGACTGCAGATGTTTCCCCTTGACCAATCTTTGCTTGCCATGGCCGGGTTGCATGCAAGGACCAAGCTGAGCTGTGCGCAATGTACGCGCGACTCTTTCACAAGGGCTTGATGGAGGCGTATATAACTGAGGAGCAGTGCCGCGCATGGAGCTCATTCGTCCCATGTCCCCGTTGATGCCACAACACCGAACGACCACATCGCCTGAACGACCCGCAAGCACAAGGAATTCCTTATTGCCCCTTTGGGAGAGGAAGAGACAGTCGGAGATTGCTTTTCCAGATTCGGGTGGAGTTCAACAGTTGAGTCTATATATGGAACCTTTCTTGGGTCCTTTCAACATCCAACTTGTCCACTTTTCACACCTTTCTCACCCTTGTTTCACCATGCTTTTCGCCTCACTTCTTGCACTCCCATCCGCCTCCCATCCCCGTCGTCTTCGCTCCAGGAGGAGGCCAGCGACTTGTTCGGCAGCGACGAGGACGTCGCTCAGATCATGACGCCCATCCGCGCGGTGATCCGCACCAGCCGCTGGTTTTCGGTACAGAGATGGGCCCGGCGAGGGTTTTCGGTAGGTACCATTTTTTCGGATTTGATTTGATTCTGGTGTTGTAGTGTTTTTTTTTTTAATAGTGTATAATGCTGTAACTTCATCAACAGGCTTTTATGCACGTCAGGCCGTCAGGCTGGGATATACTGTTTGCTTCTGAGCGATGGAGCGATGGCGGATGGAGCGAGTCGCTGGTCGCTGAGGCAACTTGATGGCGGACTTTGGGCACTTCTCCGCTGTTTGGGCTTTCCAAGTCTGGAAGGAATGGCTTCAGGAGCAGCACCCTGGCGGGTTAACGGTCGGAAACGTCCCAAAAGAAGGAAGACACAGGCACACACACAGGGGGTTGGAGAAGAGGATTGGAAACGTAAACGGCGGTGTGGAGGATTCATTTTGTTTCTTAATCTTCTTGTTCTATAGTAAAGATCAGGATGCCGAGAGAGGCACATGATGGCACACGATAGCAGAAGTGATAGGATCCTATCGGATCTATCGGGTTCTCGCTGAAGGGACTGAGCATGAAAAAGCGACGGAGGGCATATTTTCGTGCGCCCTCCCCCCCAACCCCCCTCCCGCTTATTTTTTAAAATTTAGGCTGTTGCTACAGCATGCCAAAGACAAACCAAGAAAACAACCAAGCATTAGCAACCAAAGCATTTGTCCCTCCAACCCGTAGCAGAAGTTAATGGAAGATCACCATGGAAAACAAAATGTCACCAGGGAAGGGAAAGGTAAAAGGAAATGGAAAGGAAAATGTAAAGGAAAGGGAAGGGGAAGGGGAAAGGGAAAGGGAAAAGGGAAAGGAAAGGGAAAAGGGAATGGAAAAGGAAAGGGAAAGGGAAAGGGAATGGAAAAGGAATCAGAAGACGCAAAAAAGCTAAAAACCTGCAGCCAAAAGCGACCATGGAAAAAAGCGTGTTGCAGGAGGGAGGGACAGAGAGAGAGAGAGAGAGAGAGAGAGCGCCTCAAGTTTTGCAGAGTTCCCTGTTTTCAACGGGCAGCCATTTTAGAGCATTCAACTATCAAGCCGGCGCCACCTCTAAGGAAAGATGAACGACGGAGATCCAAGAGAAACAATTTCAATTTTTGCGGCCGCAGAGAGGTGTCCTAATGCTCCTCAAAGGATCGTTGGACCGTCCCAGGCCCCTGTTTTCGTCGGTTTCCCATTGGGGGAACCCACCGCTTTCGCGGTGGGGGGGGTCGAAACTGGCGCGCGACGCATTTTGCTCGACGCTGCGC